TAGAAAAATTTTTTTTTTATTTATACCAATGGGTAAAAAAAAACCAAATTAACTCTTATATTAATGGTAATGGTAACATTAGCCTTTAAAAATATATATAATGCTAAAATTTTTTAGAAACAATTTCTTTTAATAATATATACCTTTAAAGTATTATAACTTTTTAATTCAACAATGAGTAAGTAGGTATCTACATGAAGGGAAAAAAAATTTGTTAGTAGTGCACCTGAGATTAGCCCTATATCCTCAATATTTTTAAAATCTTTACCCATATTAGAGCTTATCGCTAACCCCTATCCCCTCAAAAATATAAGTGGCAAATATATTCTATGATACAGCACTGAATGAGTTAATATGCCTAGAATCAACATTCTATTAGATTCGTCTAGTAAATAAAACAAAAATGAAAGAAGAAATGCCAAAATTTTGTTTGAGTCCTCTATAACAATCATATCACAAGTTAAATTAAAATATAAACTATATGTAAATGATATATCCTATTATTTAATCTATACTATGTGCTTTAATATAAAAAAATTGATGTTTTCAGTTATAATAAATATGAAATATTATTATGCTATCATTTTATAAGGGCATTCACGGTTCTACAATCAATTAACAAGTGGATTAGACATCTTGAGTCTGGCCGGAGAAATTTTCACCATAGTGACTAGAGTTGAAGAGAGGTGATATTAATAATGAACTACCTACCAATAAACAAGAGTAAGAAAATTCCCAAACCGGAAGAAATAGTGGAGGCTAAGTTGATATGTTTTTCATATTGATAAGAAAAGAGGCGAAATTATTTTTTTTTAGATTTATATAAAGTCTCACAAGCCTATACAAGCAATATTTAGTTGGTCTTTTATATCGTACAGACAGCTACATTAACGAGGGAGATGGTGTTAGATGGTTTGCTCCCAATTGTAAGGAAGGTAGGGGGTATTCCTGTAATAGACTAGGGGTAGGATCAGTGACCCTTACACTTTCTGAGGGATGGAAACAAAATACACTCCTCCTACCACCCCCTCGAAAAAATAGTTAATTATTTTTCGACACCCATAGATTTCAAAAATAATTTTTATTGCATCAATCTTTAATATATAATATAAATAAAATTAAAATAATATACTATAAAAATATTATTTTTAATTTATTAATTTAGATAATTTAGATAATTTAGGGGAAGAGAAAGCGAAAGAATTTATAATTTCATCCAGGCAAACCGAACCATGAACCGAACCATTAAACCTCTAAAAACCGGTATTTTTTATCGAACCTAAAAGAACCTAAACCTCTAAAAATATTTCTAGTGTAACCTGAAACTGAACCACTAAAATGCCTCTGAACCAGTTCGAGTCTCATAGTTTTATGCTTATAAAACAATGTTTAAGTTATTACTAGTATATTGCAAAAATTTTAATTATATTAGAATTGTTTTAAAGATTAATATCAATCAAATTTAATTGATAAGTGTCATTCATAATTTTTACAAACTTTTTGTATATTGCCATTTTACAACATTTTTTAAATATTTTAAACATATAAATTATAATGCCTAAAGAAAAATTAAATCCAATATATTAATAATGACACATCAAATCTGATATCATAATAGCAGTGCCGGCTACCCAAGTTAGTGTGGATAGATGTTTTACAACAATTAAATTTATATTATCTCCTTTTAAATGTAATTTTGAGTGAGACGAATTTTGAAATATGAAAAAAGTGAAAACCCAAGATTATTTCTATAAAAATCGAATGTAGCCAAACTCTTACAATAGGTGAACCTAAAGGTCTGTAATATAATTTCTGGGGAAAAAATTCATCTAATAGTACTCCCCCCTCCCTCTTAGCAAAATCTTGGATACGCCCATGAGCAATATCTACATGCAATTTTCATCCATATATTATTAGGGCGGTAGGGATAGACTATTAAAGGATTTGAACAGTGTTGGGTAATGGCTAAATATTAGGCTAATTTGGCTATCTACGTTCGCGTGCCGGAGAAAATTAGTTACCATGCGTTTTAATTTGTATTAGTTTCTTTCAAATTTGAGATGAAATATTTTTAAGAAAAAACCCCGAATCCAAAAAGTGATAGTTTTTGGCTAAATTCTCTATTTATGTAATTTTTTTAGATAAATAAATACTGGCTTAAATGGCTAAAAATACAGTAATTATCCAACTAGGGGTGTAAAATATTTTGGTAATAGGGTAAGATCCATCTATCATTTTTAAAAAATCTGTTATAAATATTACTTAAATAATAATATATTTAAGTAATTTTCCAGATATCTATTAATTTTTCCCATAAACAGTAAGGTTATAAGTTAGTCATTTGTATATAAAAACTTGTTCCAATTAAAACCTATTTTGTTTTATTATTTGTCAATTCTAATATTAATTCACTAAAATTCTATAGTTTGTAAAAAGGATTAATATAAATAATAATTTCCGTAAATACAATTCGCACAATCTTAGTTTAAAAGAATTCAAACTTTCTGACATGTAAAAATAATTTTTTTTTGAACTTTTACAATTCGATCATGAAAACATTAATATAAAATTAAATTAAATCTAATATTGTACTTCAAAATTTTGTGGTCTACATAATTGAAATCAGGGTTATAGGGGAGACAAAGGAAATCTGTTTCCCTAACTCAAAGCTTAAGCACTATCATTATGTCATATGGAAAAATAACTGCCCGACAATTCTTTAATAGTGAGTAATAAGTGCACAACGTGTAAAACATCACGATAGTATTCATTATTTGATCCTAAGATCTACTAAAATGAGTTCGTGCTACTAAGATTTGGTGCCCAGACTAAAACCATGAAATTCCAGATATCGATTAGCTGCTAATTGTTTTTTTCTCACTAGAACTGCAATTATACCCTATCATTTTAATACTTATGAAGTTACTGTAAACAGCTCAACCGTGAACCACATGAAATATAATATCTGATGATATTTTAGTAAAAATTTATTGGTATATACCAGGCGGGCAATTCTCTTTGGCGTGTTTTTTTTAAACATATCAGCTGCAGCTCTTTGTGAAAAATACGATTCTTTTATACCACTTTCTTTGGAAAACTTAAAATTATTCTGTCGGTGCCAGGCCTTCCTGACTCAATATAAGTGTTTAATCAATATTTTCTATAATATGCCCCGTTTGTAGTCTCTACCACTATTGTTTTTCATGTGATACGGTAACATCAATTTTTTTAATCAATCAATTAAGGCTGCCAAACCCGTTTCTGTTAGGAAATTCCTCATCAAAACCTTTTTTCTCCTTAATGTTTTTATTATTTTATAATTGTAATTAAATTCAAATCATATTTACAGAAAACCATTTTTTTATTATCAGCTTTTGTAAAATTTAATAAAAATAAATAAAATGAATTTCTACATGTTGGAAATTTCGAATTTTGTTTGTCCAAATATGCATAACTTTTGACCCTTTTGATAGATAATAATGAAAATTGATGAAAACTTTAATAATTTAACCCTCTCTCAAACTTTAAAACCTTTTTAATTATATTTAGAATTGGTAGATTTATTGCTAAAACAAAAAGGGTATCAGTTCAATTTAACATAGTGATTAATGCATGAAAATAATAAGTGATATGAAAAAATTTACGTAATATCCTAAGTGATTGAGATATTTTTCAACGAATTAACAATATTTAGTATAAAACCCTATATATATATATTTAGAAAGACTACCCCACACATTATATTTTGTAATTTTCCATTTGCGCGAAGCTAATACTTGTAATTATATTTATCTGATGAAAAGCATTTTACATCTTGTATTAATTGCGGCGGAAAATATAAATTATAAAAAGGTTTTAAAGAAGACTTTACCGATTATTTTTGGTTTAAAAAGTTTTTAAATTTCTTATATAACTTTATTTTAATATTACAATTGAATCCTATTAGTATTTATTCTAAATTTACCGATTAACAAAATAAAATAAATTAAAATTTGATTATTTATGAATTACTATGGGTGTGTTGAATGAGTATTTTCTTTCTTAAAATATATATTGTCAGATTAAAACGTGAAAATCACCTAGACAATATTTTGGGTGATATCATAATAATTCGCTTTTTACAATACAAATATATTAATCTATTTTATATTATGGTATTATTCTAATTCTAATTCTGATAATGATGATGAATACTGGATCGTAGAGTAAAATTACTGATCTATGATCATATGGAATACACACAAATTAGTATAAAGGCTAAAATGTAAGGTAGTTATGCTAAATAAAGGCATAATAATCTTTATTATTATAAAATATTTATAAACATTGTTATAACTATTTATTTACAAGTAGAATGGCTATGTATTATTTTAATCCGTTTAGTAGACAGTATAAATAAAGAAGAAAAGATTTAATTATAATTGACATCATGCTATAAAAAATATTATAGAGAAACTTAATTTAGGGTTTGAGCTAATATTTAGAGCCTTGCTCGTACATATTAATTCTTAAAGTTTTGTGAATTTAAAAAAAGAGACCTAGTAATAAATGAAAACTTTGACATTTTAAACAAGAAGTGAGCCAAGTTCTTAGAAACAAATGCCCAATTATTAAAGTTAATTTATTTGCTTTAAATGGGGAAAAACTAAGGTAAAAATTAAGAAATATTGGCATTATGACAGAAGTTAGAATATAAAATAAATATATAATTTTTAGTTAATTTAATGGCTTATTAATCAATTTTACATTCTATTCAACCACAAAAAAATTAAATTATTGAGCTAAATAAAAAAATGTCATGCCGAATGTTTTAACATCTGGAAGTATTAATTATGAAAATTATATCAATAATAGTTGGTATTTAGTACATTTTAGTACTTACCACCAAAGGGAGAGTCTAAAAATGCATTATTGGCAAAATAAAAATGAAAATACCAAGATTAATATCATAAAAGAAAGGCATTATTCAGGTTTTTCCCGGTCAATAAACATAAAATTAATTTAAATAATACAAAAATATTTTATTATTATAAAATTTATTATAATTTTAATAGAATGCATAGAACATTGTATAAAACAAAGTATCAGCTTCGTAAAAATATGGTTAAAAATATAAAACAAAACGTGAGGTTATATCCCTTTTTAGTTAATTCTTATAAATTATAATCCGGAATTGGAAATTTTTGAAAATAACCATTTTTCTGTAGGTTTCACATGATACACGGGAAGATCTTTTCTCACAATAAATGATTCATTTCAATTTTTTAAATAAATAATTTATCCATATATTAATATATTTTTAATTTTATCACAATTTAAGAATTATGTTCATATAATTTTAATTTTGATATCTAATTTTACAAAGAGTTTTTATTTAAAATTTTCTCTCAAAAGATATAGGAATACATTGGTGCTATAAAGATAAAAATATTTAATGTGATTTGAAGCGAAGACACCTACTATAGGTCCCTCCAGGGCACACATATGGGAATCTTGGCCTAGTAGTTGGTCCAATGTATTCTATCTTCACATCTTTATTATTTTTTTTTATAATACATATAATAACTTTCATTTTAATATAGGTCTTAAAAAAATTAAAAGGATGAGTAATAATTAGTTTTGTTAAATCATCTCAGTCTTTTAATCTTAATAACACGTCATTAACAGTTAGCGCAAATTTTTGGATAAGTATATAAAATTTACCATGAACAATACAAAAAAAATACAGAATATATTTGAGTTAACTGTAAATTCGGGTAAAGCGGCATAGTTAAAACCCGTTTGGAGCATAATAATGTTAATTATTTTTAAGATAAAAATCTGAATCAGGTATACTAAGAGAAATATAGGATAGACTGAAGGTAGGTTAACCCATGGGAAATGTTTAAACTATTTGATTTCATTATAAAATTTAATATGCTAGAATATTTAAATTTTGTTCTTATTTGTCTTTTATTCGTTTGCATCCTCTATTTGTTTGATATACAGTGTTAGAAATCATTTTTAAGTTAACTAATTAGAAATCTTTAAAAAAAAGCAAGGTATGCCAACGAAATGTTTATATCGAAGTTAGGAAACCTGGACCAATAAAATGCTCTGGTTACTATTATGAATATTATTTAAAAAGCAGTTCTAGTTGCTAAATTTGGAAAAGTAAATTCTGATTTCGGATCTTAAACTTGATGCGGTATTCCCATGGTATTTAGTACATTTAGGTACCTTCAACACACGTGATAGACAGTTTAATGCAATATTGGTAAAATAAGAACGAAGATATCAAGATTGACATTATGATAGAAAGAAAGTTGCAGAGGCATAAATTATTTGGTACATCCTTATACAATGCCTGATTAGTATATTATACTAATTCATCAATCAAGTTTTTCCCCCTCAATAAATAGAAAACTAATTTTAAATAATAAAAAAATATTCTATTATTACAGAATTATATAATTTTAATAGAATACATAGTACATAGTATATAGAAAAGTATTAACTTCGAAAAATATGGTTAAAAATATAAAACAAAACAAAAGTGTTAGGTTATATATGTTTTTTTAGCCTATTTCTCATAAACTTAACATACGTAAATTTGAAATATTTGAAATTAACCAATTTTCTGTGAATTTCAAATGATACACGGGAAGATTTTTTCTCATAATAAATGATCCATTCATTTTTCAAATAAATAATTTATCCATATATTAATATATTTTTAATTTTATTTGATCGAAATTTAAGAATGTTCATATAAATTTAATTTTGATATCTGTAATTTTATAAAGTGTTAAAAGAGAGGAAATAAAAGAAGCTAAAAGATAATGAAAGGAATTCATTTGTGCTATAAAGTTAAAAATATTTTATATGTTATAGTGATAACCCCCATAGTCCCTCCAGGGCACACATATTTGTTTCCTGGTGAAGAAGGTCCAATGTATACTATCTCTACATCTTTATATTTTTTTATAATACATATAATAACTTTCATTTTAATGTAGGTCTTAAAATTTTTAAAGGATTAGTTAATATCGTTTTATCATATATCATATCAGCCTTTTAATCGTAATAACCCGACATTCTCAGTGAGATACTAATTTGTAGATAAGTATACAAAATTCGCCACGAAGAATACAAAAAAATATAGCAAAAGTGGCATAGTTATAACCCGTTTGGAGCATAATTTATTCGAAATGTTATTTTAAAGCAAAAATATTTATAGGCCTAAGAGAAAGATAGGGATAAGTGCCCATGGGGAATGTTTAAACCATTTAATTTGATTATAATTTAATACGCTAGATTTTTAAATTTTGTTCCGTTATAGCTTTTATAGGTTTTGCATCCTCTATTTGTGTGATATAAAGTTTAGGAATTATTTTTCTGATAAGTATTTAGAAATCTTTATAAAGAAAAAAAGAGAAGATATGACGCCAGCAAAATGCTTATTTATATGAAAGACCAAAAAAAATTCTCATTGATTATAATTTAATACGCTAGATTTTTAAATTTTGTTCCGTTATAGCTTTTATAGGTTTTGCATCCTCTATTTGTGTGATATAAAGTTTAGGAATTATTTTTCTGATAAGTATTTAGAAATCTTTATAAAGAAAAAAAGAGAAGATATGACGCCAGCAAAATGCTTATTTATATGAAAGACCAAAAAAAATTCTCATGTTGCTGTTATGAATATTTATTTAAAAAGTAGTTCTAGTTGCTAAAATTTAGAAAAGTGAATTCTGATTTCGGATCTATTTTACTTTAAATAAAGATTTAAGTGGCTAACATTATAAGATATGATTGATTTAGAAAATATATCTATTATAAACATTTAGATTAATAAAAAAAAATTAAACTAATTAACAAAATGGCATAAAATATATATTTAAAATTAAATTTTTTTGAATCATGACAATAATATTTTTTAGTTCAATATTTAATTTAAAAGAGAATTTGTAACTAGAATCAAAATCTACATAAACGTTAAAAAATTAGTAACCGAAATTAGAAACCCCAGTAAAATTTATAGGAACACATAATAATAATTAAAATATTATATATTATTAAAAATTTGAAAACCAAAGAATGAGAATCTAGAATCCTTAAAACATTTCTAAAAGAACAGATTTTTTAGAAACAAGAATCAGAAATATTCTAATATTTTCTTTGCCATTTTTATATATTATTTTCCTAGATCTATTTATACACACTGCTTTAACATTAGGTTTAAAACCTTTGCCATGTTAATAGTTAAAAAAATAGAGAAATATAGCGATTTAATTGTAGTGTTATAGATATAGTTTGGACTAGGAATTAGGTGGCATGGTTGTTTTATATAAGAATAAAAAATATTAATTATATAAAGCTTTTGAACCATCTTTTGGGGGTTCTGAAATTGTTGTCCTAATTTCTTCGACTTCCAGTATATTGGCTGAATAAAAATGGGATATATATATATTGTCTAATATATTGCAAAATTAAAAAAAATACCAGAATTTGGGACAGAAATTTGTATTATAATTACACATGCGATCATTATCTGTATTGTTTAATATAAATATGAAAATTATACTTTATCTTATTGCACGAAATATCTTCAACTACTAAATAAATTATTATTTCATAATAAATACAAATAATTAATATAAAAAGTAAATTGACAATCTAATTATATACTACATTTTATATATTAAACATTATTGCTTATAAAATTACTTACATATAAGTGCAACATTGTAAAAAAAAGCAATGTGATTTCAAAAATAAGAAAATCTTGTTTTTATGTCGTGATTTCAGTTATTTTTTTATAAGCAAAATATTATCGTTTTATAGACCATTTATTAATCTAAAAAAAAATTAAACAATAAATTAATTTGTAATATAATTTAAGATGAGCATTAGACCTTGACTCGATTTTAATTTATTCTAAATGGACAAATACATATTTTTAAATTTTAAACAGGTAAACAATTAGAATTCAAGTAAACATTCAAAATTCGTTTAAATGATTTATTTATTACAAAATTAAAAAATTATGTAAATTAATACTGTCAAATTAATATTCTATCATTTGATTTATTTTATACTATATAATAAATTTAAAACTAAACAAATACTTGCTTACATTTTGTTTTATTTGTAAAACCATCTATTTATTATCATATTAATGGATATTTATTAAAGAATAACTGGATAAATATATTCATGAAACATGAACGGGAAACGGTGTATATACCACAGACCCTTTTCATTTAAAATTTTATAATAATAAATACTTTTATGAAATTTATTAAAATTGTATTAGTGAATAAACCATATGTATAGGCATCTTTTTCACTTTTTATCTTAAATTTGATTTCCACTTACCTTAAAATCATGGTGAAAACATGGAATTTTTTTCACATTAGTCTAAAATGATATTCATAAAAACGTGCAAATTTTCTAAGAGAAAGGAAGGATTGCCCAAACCCTACCTCTCCCTTAGTTTTATGTGTTGATTAAATGAAATAGTAGATAAAAAACTCTATTTTGAAAATCATATTTTATTTAATTTATGGACTAATTTCGAGAGAGTCTAATTTACGTTCCACATTTTAATATTTCATCTATTTTAACTACTAAATATCCAACCCAATTCCGCTAATTCATAAGTTTTTCCTTCTTTCTACGAATATGATCTTTAGATGATTTCCAAGACGTTTAGATTGGTTACTTTGAAATGATTATATTTAATGAAAATTTGGAATTAGGATTAAATATTAAATTTTGCCAGGCGTGTCAATGGAAAATTTATTTTAACTTCGTGGCGAGTGTCGGGGATAAAATAAAATATATGCATTTGCACCTTTCTATATGATACATGAAAAGAAAATTTCTAATCTAAAAAACTTGATGCATATAGCAACCTTAATAATGTTTTGTTTGTTCCTGTAGTCTCAGATTCCTGTGAATCATTTAGACCCCAAGCCCTAAATTATTCAAAACAATAGGGCAAAGGTTACGCTTAATCACAGATGACCCAAAAGAAGGCTTTTACCTTCGACAGAGAATATCAACTGAAATCTGCCGTTCTAACTGCATATCCATACATGGGTCTATAAGCCTCGTTGATCATACCTAATTAAATGTTTAATTATTATTTTATTTAATATAGTTTTTATATAAATTATATTTTACAAATAGTTTACATGTTATTTTAAATATATATAATTTTTAAAAAATAAAAGATATGAGCAAATTTGAAAAAATATACATCCAGAAATTAGAAGATTATCGAATTAAAAATTTTTCTCTCAAGTTTTGGATGTTTATTTATCTAAGAATAAATTAATATTGATAAGTTGAATTTTCGATAAGATGATATTTTGTTTTTTTTATTTAAAAAAATCAGATAATCTGCCAATTGATGAGATATACTTGTTTTTATATTTAATCTAATAAAAAATACTATGAGTCAACAATATTTTTTGCGATTAGAATTCTTAAGACTACACCAGTTTCTGTGCTTAAGCTCTAGAGCACATAATTTTAATAGATAGCTCACCTAAAATTAGTTATTGCATAATTTATTGCAAATATTTCCAGTTCTTTCATACAAAAAAACCATTTGTTTGTTTAATGGTGGCATTAATTCTAAATAATTTTCATATTTTAAAGTCATAGGTCAATATTATATAATATATATTTTTTAAAATGTTGATTTCTAAAGAGAACGCTCTGTTATATCCTTCGCCTAAAACACGATGGAGAAGCTTTTCAACATTCAAATTTTAGGTAATGAATTGAATAGTGTGTGTAATTATTATATTAAATCTTTTATCAATGATAATTTTTAGTAAAACATGGAAATTTATTTGACTGAATCTAAAGACTCTATTTTCATTTAGCAAAATTTTAACAAAATACATCAAGTCAAAAACTCCGATGGTTTAAAATAGCAAATCTAGTCTTAAAGGGGGAGGGAAATAAATTTCGATATGGGTTATCAAATAAAAGGTATAAATGTATTTTGATTGTAATGTTATTTATCACTCTAAGTATATTGGTAAGGTGTTAGGAGGGGTTCAAGATTTTTTAATTAATAAATTTTTTTATAACATAAATAATCAAAATCTAGGAAAATAATTCCCCGCAAAAAAAATTCCCACAGAATATAATTTACAGGAAAAAATTTCACAGGAAAATAATTCCCTTTTTTTTGAGCATATAAATTATCAAATTATTTTTAGAAAATTAACAAAATAGGAAAAAAAAATCCACAAATAAAATATTTAAAAATTTTGAGAAAATCAACAAAATAAATAAAATAAATAAAAATTCCTGTGTTTTCCAAATAAAAATTTCCCAAATATACTTGTTACACCTAACCAAATTTTTAAATGATTATTAATCAACCCTAACCAATATAATGTCTAACGTTATGGCCTTATCTCGAACCCCGGTTTGGTGAAAATTAAACTAAACAGTATTTATAAAATAAATCAATTGGATAAGTCTCTATGATATTAAGCAAAATATTTTTATAAGCTAAATAATGATAATGGCAAGGCCAGATTTTTTATTTTGGTCCGGATTTATATATTCATACCATTTTTTGACCCGGATCTTAACTGCTTTATATTTAAAATTCAAATTCTCTCGAAGATTTGAGGTTTTAAATAATAAAAAGTTAAATAAATCTAGTTCACATTTACATGGTTTTTCATCAACCTTTATATAATTATTGAAAATCAAATTTTTATTTTAAAAAGATATTTATTTTTACACAAATTATTAATCATTTCCATGAAGGTTAGTTAGAGATAAGAGGCTTTTCACAATTGCCTTTAAAAATAGATGACCAATTTTTCAATTGGTATAATTTTGTTATGCAATATATGCAGTCTTTTTCTGATAATTTTTAGAATATAAAATATATTGTGTCCTATGTCACAATGATATTTGATCAGTTGACAAAAATAATAGAATGGCTTTTATTAACTCTTTAATAGTACCCTTTTTTATTTTTAATGTTAATGATGGGCTATTATAATTTTAATTATTTATATAAATTCTGTGACGTAATAGGAAATTTGCAATTCAACGTGGTCTCCTCTATTTGCCCAATTTAAATTAAATACTGCCAAAAAATAATTATATTTTTATTTTATTAAAATGATATATGAATGTTTTTCACTGTTTTTTCACTTTTTTTTTCAATTTTAATTTGTAAAATCTTTTCCACAATTTTCATCTATTTCTAAAAAAAATCTAATATCACAAATCTATACTTTTTATGATATCTACAAAATTATAAAGTATCAAGGCTATCAACCGATTTATTAATTCTCATATTTTTATTGCCTTATCGCTTAGAATTAAAACAGAAATAATGCTCAAAGAAATACTGAATATAATTTTTTAGAAATATTTTCGTTATTTTAACAGTGAGGTTATTTTTGATAATTTAGAAAAAAATTATTCGGGATTATAAAAAATTATTTCGGGGTATTTTTTCCCTGTTTTTTTTTCGTGGATTTATTTTCCCCTATATTTAATTTTAAAAAAAATGGGGAATTATTTTCAGAAATTTTTCGGATGATTTTTGCTTAGTTTCAAAATTTATTTATAGCTTAACTGATAATGACATTTATATTTGTGATCTGCATCGGGCCTTTTTCAAGCCCGCCCCGGCCCAAATCTTTTTAAAAAAGTTTTGTCGGACCGGCCCGAACCTGAAATTTTTTAAAATGTTTTGCCTGCCCTACCCGAACCCGAATTTTTTTTTAAAAAAATTTACCGACCTGGCCCGGCCCGAATTTATTTAAATATAGAAATTAATTTACTCAAAATAAAAGACATATGTTACATGTCATTTAGTTTCAATTAATAAAATCAAATATTTTTATTTTACATAAAAAATTCATTATATAATTAAAAAATTTAGATATATTTAAAAAAATTTCCAAGGTTCGACCCGACCCGGCCCTAATTTTTTTAAAATATAAGGCCCCGCCCGGCCCGAACCCGATTATTTAAAATCTATATAGGCCCGAGCCCGGCCCGAAGCCCTTTTGGGCCGGGTCGGACTCGGGCCGGGTACGGGCCTGGCCTAACTTTGCAGATCTCTAATTTATATACTATTACAATAATTCAATATTCAAACTTAGACAAGAAAGCATTTGATTTTTAAATTAATTTGAATTTTCCCATTTTTTTATAATAATGAATTAAATACAATAGACACCTAAACAATAATTTAAAAAATTTAGTTTAAATTAAAATTAAGTATAAAATAAAATTTTATTCTTTCCATTTTTTTTATCCTGTATATATTATATCAAAAAATTTTGCAACTGCAGCATAATCTATTGTTGTTGGTCTGACAGTTATAGGGGCAACACGTCTAAACCTATATAAATCTTAATTTTTTTTTTGATAAATATTAACATTTTTGATAACAAAATAATAATATTCGAATTTGTGTTAAAATTGTAAAGGTATAATATCAAGAATAATTAGAAAATTTAGGGTTGGCAAGTTTATCAATAGACCAATAAAATATGAAAGAATAACAATTGGCATATTTGATCAGTCATATTTTGTAATAAGCTAAAATATCATTGTAGTGATTAAATATATCACATAATAATTGTCATGCACTTTAATGGATTAAATAACAGTACAAAAAGGTTTTACTGGGTAAAGATACCCCATGAATCTAACCTTTAAAACTAAAAATAATATCAATAAAAATTATTATAATAATAATACTGATGATAACCCTCTACTCTAGATTGTCAAGTTCTAATCCACAATTTGATTTTTATTCTATTTATTACAAAATCTTGAATAGCAATAAGAATGCAATCGAATATAAAAAATTTTGTAATAAAGATAGTACCAAAAAAGGTAGCAAATTCTCAAGCAATTAAAAATTAATGAAAAATCTATAATAGTAAAGCTTTTTTAAAAGAATACGCCCTATTAATAACTTTAATCGATATTAATTGTGAGAACCTCCTAGATTATTTCAGAACTTCATACATGTAATCATGTTTAATTTACATACATATATCATTTTTTTTAAAATAAATACATATTTCATAAAAAAAAATCAGCGAACTGTAAAAATTACGCCGATTAATAATATCTAAAGGTAGGCTAAAATTTGCAAGAGAGCAAATCCTTTTAAATTCAACTTATTTTTCAATTTTTTTAGTCCATTTAAGATAATAAAAACCCAAATAGATTTAGAACTTTGTTACAATATATGACCATAGATATCTAATAACATCAATGTTTACAAAAGCCATTTGCAAGACGCTAATCGTTATTTAAAAATTAGTTTCAAAAACCATTATAGCTATAAATTAAAGTAAAACAAATTCGAACCGATCAAAATATTATTAAAATATATCATTATAAATAATGAAAGATCCTTTTGAATAATCAGTCTAAAGAATTAAATTAGGTAAAATTAAATTATTTTAAAAAAAAATTAATATATTGGTCATGGATTGGTATTTTTAATTATGACGACGGTCTGAACTGATTTATTAAAAATAATATTATGAATTTATTAGATTTAGACATACTTTGAAATATTGGTTTGCATTGAGTAACAGATGAACAAGTCAAGGTTAGAGCAATTGATATCAGGATATGTTTTAATACGAGTGTAAACCAACCAATATAAATCCGGAATTAATTTGTAACATTTTATAACAAATTGAACTAGAAAATATCTATAGTAGTATTTTTAAATTAATATAATGGCATAAATTTTACAAATCATTAATTAATTTTTTTATATTTGTTGCAAAAATATTTAAAACAAGGTTGATTTCTTATAATATAATGTTTATTCGGTTTAAGAAAACTTATGGCCTTGAAAAAAGATGGCTACCAAATAAACTTACGTAATAAACCTATAAAAAGTATTTCAGTAATTTAAACTAAATAATCTGCTTTTGCAGATCTCTAAAAGGTGTTCCAACATTATATTAGTTTCCTTCCAATAGGACTTGCAGATACATGTCTGATTGGGATGAACATGAAAAATTGGTTTACACATTCGCCTGTACTTACCATTTTAACTTAAGTTGTTCTTTCAAATTCTAGATAAATTAAATTTGCATTTAAAAATATAACCTATGTAAAAAGACAATAGGAATAATTATAATTAGCTTATCGGTTAAAACATAAGTCAAATCAGTAATATAATTAAGTATTATATTTTTATAAATTGATTATTGAAGTTATTCTTATTATGCTAATTTTTAGCTATTTTAAAGAGACAGTAAATATGCATAAATTTCTTTTAAATACTAATATTAATTATGCATTTTTAAAATAGCTAATTGTTTTATAAAATAATAAAATCAGTTAGGTAAACAATATTAAAAAGATTAATGTATGAGGTTGTAAAATTTATAAAGAGTTTATGCATTCTCCAAAAGAAAAAATGGCAATAGTTATAAAAATATCTTTAATTATTTTTGAATATTTTGTTTTGACAATATCAATGATATTAGAAAAATTAAATCGTAATGCCAAGCCATCGGTTTAAGAACTTACGATCTCTATTGGTAATTGAGCTGGATTCTGTAATGAGCGATTTTATAACTCAAAAATTAGTCCTCTTATTTTTTTTTAAATTATATTGGCGCCCGCCATATGTTTAAAAATTATTTATTGATTTCATTCTTTATGTATTTTAATTTAGATAATTATAAGCCAGTCCTGCCTACTTTATATTCTTAACCCCTGTGCCTTTTGTTGCATAATGGTATTTGCCTACCCATTGAGCCCTTTATAAATTAATTCCTGTAAACCTCATCTAGTAGATTATATAATTACACATTAAATTTATCAGTGTACCTTGGTAATTTAGCCAAACTGTTCTCTCAATAAATCTCAACAAAAAGGGTCTAAAGGGTTTTTTTTCCCGTGTCACAGATTTTTAACCCTCTTAGCATTAATAGATATGAGAAATCTGCAAAAAGCAGTGTTCTTAGGTAGTGGTAACCTCTAGCATTAACAAATTTCATTATTTTTTATTTACCTAATACATTTTTAAGGAATAATTTTTTTTTTTTGATAAAATTATATTTTTACTAATCAAATTTTTATTTTTACGTCTCAACAAAAATTAACCACTTTTTGAATTTAATACTGGTATTCCGTTAAAAGAAAGAAAGAAAGAAAGTAGAACGATCTGAAGCTCAAGTGTTTATGTTGTAAATCATTTCCTATTTTTAAAGACACAACAACAAACACACACAACTATCTTTTCAAACACAAAATCTTCTTACCAATAATACCAATATTTTATTTTTCCAACTTAAAATCTAAATTCACATAATGATCTTTTTATAAAACAAATAAATTAAAAAATAAAATATATATAAATTGAAGTTCATTAAAATAAAAATATATTATTCGCAGTATGCAACAGCGACACACCCACCCTTCATAAACTCAGTGTCCATCTCCCCTAAGAAGTTGAAAAATATTGAATTCTTCCGATTCTTCCATTATCGTAGTTTTGGCATTGATCATTTTTTTTTATCATTTATCGAATCGCACCTTTGAATTGTATCGATTTTTGACCTATTTTATTGCCCATAGTATTAATTGATCATAGAAACGGGAAATAAATACATAATTTCACATTTTAGATACGATTTACAATTTATGACAAAATAATTACAATTTTGATCTTTAAAATAATTTCGTGGTGAATGGGTTACTGTAAAATTATAATGTCCATTCCAAAAAAATAAACAGAAATAAACGAAAAACTATTAATATTGGATTAAGTATCAATTCCGCAGACTCACGGGCAGTTGCCTCTCATCTAGCAATAGAATCTTTCTTTTGATTTATTGAATCTTGTTGAGGGAAAACATAATCCAATGCAATAAATTGGTTGCCTCAAATTTCCCGGCCTTCCTTTGATCACAGAAAGACTGGGATGTTCTCTCACCAAAGTATTTCATCCTTACCTAAAAGGGCTCATATTTGATTACGATCTTTTAGTTTTTCACCATATCATCCCAGGAAAAGCCTTGTTCACTTTCCGCAAACCAGCTAAGATAAATAACCTTTGGCTTAAATGAGAAATTGTTTTGTACCATCTCTCTAACCATTGTAAAATTTGCTAATAGCAAATGTGAGAACTGTAATCATTATAGATTTTACCCGTGACGCTTTCCCATAGAAAAATCAAGTATAATAACCATCTCTTAAATTTAATTAAATCGGTTAGAATACCGGCTATTCTCGAAGCACCTATTATTTTTAAAACCAACGTGTAACATCAAAAAAGAATGTCCTCAATATTGTCAAGGTTTAACTTCTTATTTAAGACTCGCCTGTCTCTGTCTTAGCACTAATAATCTATTATTGTTGTAAAGATTACTAAATAATTCCAGTTTATTTTAATTTATAACATAATTATTAATTTTTTGGCAATTCAATCGTAAATGCTTCTTATATTTTTTTTATACTAATTTTCTTTAAGTTATTTTTTGATAATCTTATAACACAATATATTAACTATTTACTAATTAGCAAAACCACAAAAATAGTCGAAATCCTAGATTTAAGAATTAACTGGAGTACTTAGTAGCTCATTTTCATTATGTCCTATCCATACTATTTTACATAGATATTATTTTGTTGCGTATAATTTATTTTTATAGTCTATTTATTGTTTTTCTTTTAACTTTTCTTTTTAATTACTGAGTTTGGAATAGAAACAAGCTTGTAACCCTTGGAACCTCATCAAATTTAAAACCATTCCAACTAAGAACCCACTTTGGTTTTTGAAGAAGGTTTGCATCCAGTGAAAATCCTGTCATGTAGACGATGCATCTGCTTACGTTATCTGATATCATTTTTTTTAATTGGGTTAATTTACTTTCAATATTATTGGTTCCTTTTTTTAAACAATGATTTTTTTGCTTTATCACATCTTTTTCATTTATTTATTATTTTTATTTGTTGCATCTTTGAGGAGTATATTATTTATTTTATTTTTTTAAGTATTTTTTTTATGTGTATTTATTTTAACACTAATAAGAGATTGGTTATTTTTATGATTAAATTTCATAAAAAATATCACAACAAATAAAATATATAAATCGAATAGGTTTATATACAAAAGCGGTCAAATCGGTTTTTAGAGGTTGGAACCGGACCTATATTTTTATTTTTTTACTAACCAAATCTGAAACTCGAAGTGTTATTTTATTCGAACCTGAGCCTAAACCGAACCGATATTTATTTCGGTTCGAATCCTTGCTTTAAACCAGCTCTTAAATAGATTACAATAAAATGTACTAATAAAGTAAAAATTTAATATAAGTTTCAGAATTTGTGTTTCCAAAGGCTTGGCTCACTTTATGTTTATTTACGCTTAATTTTCATTTTGTTTATAACTCAATTTTTTTTTGGTGGTCTCATATTTGAGTGAGGATTTGAAAGTAATAGTCAGATATTAAATATTAGAGCACGCCAGATATATAATTTTTCTCTTTTCGATATCTATTTTGCCAATTTTATTTTTCCTTTATAGTAACAAACGGATTAAATTAATATACAATTTGGCTCTAAACATTGATAAAACTTACAGAACTCTCAGTCACTTTCTAACTTAAGAGGTCAGAATTTTGTTAATAATAATTTTTTCCTCTATAGCACTGGTTAAAATAAGACACTAAAAAAGCTCAAAACATTACTAAAAACCTCGGCTTGTTCAGCCAACTTTAAAGGAGATGTATAAAGACTAGGAAAAATTAAAAATATATAAGAATTTCTGAGAAACCAGATCAAAGCCTGGGCAAAATAAATTTTGGGACGAAATCGCCAACAAAATTTTTTACTCCCCCCCCCCCCCCCCATTGGGAAATCTTGGCTACGCCACTGTGAAGAGGAAATGATATACTTTAAAACTACATGTGAAAATGCATATATGGCAAGACTTTCTAATAAATTGGAATATGTTGATAAAAAAAATATGAAAACTTTTATAAATCAAGAATTTTGATTATTATAAATGAAATAATTGAAAAATTTTTAAAAAAATTAATCCCTCAGATAAAATATTGTTGATTTCTGGACTGAATATATAGAATCAAGATACGCTGAATATATATAAGTTAAACGGATAAATATTTTACCACTTTTGGCAAATAATTTAAAAAAAATAAAATAGTACCTATCAGAAATATTACATATTTCTCACAGGCTTCTTTCAATTTCAAGTCCCTTATTTTCTCATCATCAAACAATGCATACCTATATTCTATATAAACTAGAAAACTAACCTGAATGCTACGCGATTATTCGCATTCAGTCATTTTATTTTATTTTATTTATTTTATTTTATTTTATTTTATTTTCTATTATATTTATTTTGCTCTTCATGTGGAATCAGAATTTTCCCCTTTATTTGAAAATGTCATTATGTACCAAATATTTGTTCATATTGAAGGCCCTAATATACTGTTAATGTATTTATTAAAATACTGGAAAATTAAGGAATCATATTGCATCAAATTAAATGTACATTTCTGTTTTATCCATCAAGGAGACATATCCGAATCGCCAGATTATTATTGGAGGGTTTGCTGCTAGTATTATAAATAAAGAATTTAGAGAACAATATAATATTAAATTTTGAAAAGACTTAATATATTGATATCCATCTTAATGATAATATTATACATTTGATAAAATAAATAGTATAATATTATATAT